CCACTCAGAGTTGTCATTGCTCCTATCTAAATCACAAGGGATAGAGTGCTTAATAGTTTCTCATATCACCATTACCCAATCAATGAGATTTCTCAATGAAACTAGCTCCAAAGGGTCACCCCAAACATTTGATTCCAAACTGACAATCCTACTACCCAAAACCCTAACCAAGCCATTTGAATCTCTTTTAGACCCCATTTTCACCACATTTGATTTAACAAGATTGATGTTGAGCCTTGAGACCGCTTGAAAACCTATCAAAATACACATGAGATTGAGTATAGCCCTCCTTTCCTATTCGCAGCAAAAATAAGTGTGTAACCTCATTAGCCTCATCCCTCACTCCCACTTTTAGACTTCTGAAAAGATCACATTCCCCATCTCTTATTAGCATTTTATTTAAAGCTTTCATAACCACAATGAAGAGCAAATGAGATAAAGGATCACCTTGTCTTACCCCTCGAGAAGCCTACAAGAAAGATGTTGGCCCTCCGCCAACAACAAACGAAAATGACATTGTAGTGATACACGACTTGATCAAGTACCGTCATTTCTCCTCAAAACCCATCCTTATAAGCATGTAATGCAAGAAGCCTCAACGCACATGATCATAAACCTTCTCCATATCAAGCTTGCAAAGCACCTCTTCCCTCTTCCTCTGCTTCAGTTCATCTACAATCTTATGAGCAATCAAAGTGGCATTAAGAATTTGCCTACCTCCCATAAAAGCATGTTGACATTCTTCGATCACCTTATCCATTACCTTTGACATTCTCCATGCGAGGGCTTTAGCAATTAGTTTATAAATACAACCAAATAAGCTTATGGGTCTAAAGTCCTTGATCTTGCATACCCCACCAATCTTAGCAATGAGCACAAAAAAAAGATGAATTGAGAAATTTTACAGAAGACTTAGCTTCATATAACTCCAAAAAAAATCTAAGATGTCCTTCATTATATGCCAGGACTCCTGAAGGAAACTTATATTAAAACCATCCAATATCTTGTCTCTTTTGCACAAAGTGAGACTTTCAAAGATCTCCTCTTCCGAGAACTCTCTCGAACACGAGCCTACTAGGTTCATCCAAGGCCTTAAAATTGATGTCAACCAACTTTGATCTCCAACCCAACTCTTCCTTTTAAAGCCTATAAGAGTTATCCTAGTCTCCTTCCTTAGTTGCTCATTACCCAACACCAATCCATCACCAATCTCTATCGATTTCACATAATTATTCTTCTTGTGATTATTGACCAAATAATGAAAGAATCTTGTGTTACGGTCCCCCTCCACAATCCACCAGGCTCCTTCCCTAGTTGCTCATTACCCAACACCTGTCCATCACCAATCTCCATCGACTTCACGTAATTATTCTTCATGTGATGGTTGACCAAACAATGAAAGAATCTTGTGTTACAGTCCCTCTCTACATTCCACCAAGCTCTTGCCTTCTGTCTCCATGAAGTCTCCTCTATCTATATTCTGGTGACAACTTTAAACTTTAAGGATTCTCTCCGAACTATGTCTTCTATAGGCGAAACCCTATCCCTTTCCCTTCTATCAACCTCATCAATAGTTTCATCTACATTCCATATCTAATCCCTTCCTCCTTGCACCATTTCCTGATCTACGATTTTACAAATTTTAACCTCTATGCAACCCTGAAGCTTGGCCTTTTAAACTGGATTTGTAGCCACCGGCCACTCCTTTACTTTGTCCCGAGAATCATCAATTTTCAACCAGTTATCTTCGAATTTGAATAGGTATGGACTCTATCTAATACCATCTGAAGCCAAACACATGGGAAAATGGTCACAAATGATTTTTTGCACACGATTTTTACACAAATTCACTGCCTGAACTTGACAAGACATGGAAACAAAAAATCTATTAATTCTGGAACATGCCGGATTGATACGCTAATTGGACCAAGTCCATTTACCACCCATCAATAGTAAATCCATCAACTGGAACCGATCCATGGTATCCTTAAATTCATCAGCACAGTTACGAGGAAAATGATCCCAGTTCTCTCACTTCTGTGAAGCACCATGTTGAAATCAACTCTAACCACCCAGGGCCACTCCCTCTTGATTTTGCAGGCTTCCAACTGAGTTCTGATATGCCTTCCCAAATCTAATTAGAAAGTTAAAAGTCAAAGTTCTCCATGTTCTTTCTTTTGATATCATCAATAAAATTCATTATCTATAACACATTTGATACAGGAAATAATATATCCAGAAACCTATACCAATCATACCAAGAAAACCTTAAACGAATTTCTTAAACTACTTAAGAGGCACATTTGATTAAAGGAAATAATATCTCCTAAAACCTATCCCAATAATACCAAGAAAATCTTAAACAAATTCCTAAAACTACTCATCAAATTGATATGTTGAAAACCAATTACTAGAGCAATCCTTCTATCTAAATAATAAAGGTACAATCATGTTGCATTAAAAGGCCTACTTGGACATCTAGCAGTATCCTCATCAACTAGTCTTGAATCCAATCCCTCAAGAAAAGGTCGATTATCATCCTCCTGGTTGTCTCTCATAGAATATGGTAGTTTTAGCCATTAGCATAAGTGGAAGAGAAATCTCTCACTATGCTACCATTATGAAGATCTAGCTCCTTAGTAAAACTCTTATACCTCCTCCTATTTGCAACTCCTTGAGAAAAGCTATTGCTAGTATCCCTATCTTTGTAACAAGTGATAGGCCTGTTATTTAATAAAGCTACTTTGGGAGTTTTCTCAAATTTTCTGGTCGTATAATGCAATCAAATGCTTAATGTGATGCTAAAAATTCTTTAAGTCTAAAATTTAAGAAACATGTATGATATCTAAGTTTTAGCTCCACGGGCCCAAGAGACAAATTAACATATGTCTTACACCACTCTACCCCAACCTATTGGTGTTTCTGACATATTGTAAATTTGGTGCTCAGGTCTGGCTTTTACCCCTTTTGACTTCCCCATAAGTGCTAATCAAGCTATATCAACTTGTTCCTATCCATTACCTTTTGAACCTTTTCAAATGATAACCACCTTTCATCTCCTCCAAAAAAAGGAATGATTACCACTAATCTTCTTTTTTTTTTAACAAAAGTATAATAAAATTACTATAAGCACGAAGAGGGTGCAACCCATTTACAAAATTACTATTATCATTAATCTTCTGCTTTTTATATTATTTTCTTTCTTCTACTAATAATCAGGTTATTTGCATTTTTCGCTAGAATCTTCTTTCTTTGGGACCTCCATTAGATTTCTAAAAGCAGAGAGAAGCCAATAAGACCATTCCTTGACCATGTAAATCGTCTATACCTGTCCCCTTCATTCTCTCTATACTTAGGCAAGATCTACCTCCCTACTCTAATGCTATTTTGACGGTCTTTCCCTTGATCAATAAAAGTTTGAAGTCTTGCATAATGTCAATGGTTGAAATCCTTAAAAAATAAAGAGAAGAAAACAGGACCAATCTCTGGTCATTTTTTAAAATCACATTAATATTCTATTAAACTGTTTTTATATCACAAAATTGGCAATTTTACTTCTCTTCTTGTAAAACAAATGCTCAATATAACTCATGCCATGGACCAGCCTGTATAAAATATTTGTTACTGTATTTATCAAAAAGTTATTCAAGAAGCTCTTTATCCTACTATATTTTTAGCGCAACCAAGGACAATTTCACCAAACATAATAGAAAAAGAAAACACATCCTATGAGCTGCCAATAGCAATTGACTTCAAAATTTTCATATATGCAAGTTTAACTGAAAAGAATGAACTTACGACAAGTAGAAGTCATATGGTTCAGCAATCCACAAGGCTCCCCATCAGGGGTATGCACAGGGCAAAGGAAACCCCAAGATCTGTACATCAACACAACATGATTTTGATATTTAGAAACAACCAGACATGTTGACTAATGCACTGACAAGTAAGCAACACATACTCAGGGAGTAACTTTCTAACACTTGTCGTACGAAGTCCAGCAAACGAGGCTCCTCGATGAACAGATCGGAAAAATGAAAGAAAACGTAGGAAATTTAATCTCTCAGCTTGAACCGTGTAACCAGCCCTCTAACAAAATAAAAGAAAACATTGTTAGGGACCCTAAGCACCAAAATGATAAAGAAATAATAACGATGATAATAGTAATAATAATAATAGTAATAATAATAATTCTGAATCAATTATTTCTTCTTTAACATATTTGAATGTTTTTATACGTGTTTGTGGGTGTTTTATATGTTTGTATATGGGCATTATATATGGGAATAAATTATGTCAAGTGATTCTTAAAGTTGAACAGATGTAGGAAGATAAAATGAGGCAGTTGTAGCAGTTAGTCATAAGCAGGGAGTAGATAATATTTTAGCAGTTTTTCCGAACAGTTTGGGCAGTTACTGTTTTCTGCCGAAAAAAATGTCCCTATAATTTATGCTGTATAAATCTCTGTTTCCAATCTATTGAAGGCATAGAAGAAAACTATTAAAAATATTGACTACTTACTCAAGAGATAGTAAGGTTTTCTCTTAACAAGCCTTAATTTGCTTGGAGATAAGTAAAGGTTGGAAACTCAAAAATACTTCGAATTTTCTGCAGATTTTCATTTTAATCGGCCCATAACTAAATCTACTTTTAGTGACTCTAACAAACACAAATATTATCAAAGGGAAAATGAGAGAATACTTGAGTAGCTTCAAAAGACCAATTTGTCAATAAACCAAGGTAGAAACACTTAAGTGCTATGATATGTAAAAGGTAAAACAGAATATAACATGAAAACTCCTACTGCGAATAGGATAATTAAAATATCTCTACGATCCTGGGTCAAAACCGCGTAACTGGCATGATGACACTTATTGAAATAGTCAATGCCTCTCACTAAAAAGATTTAGCAACTCTATATCAAGATTCATCTTAGCTTGGGTTGATCCCATTCCCTTAAGGTTCTGCTCTAATCAATGGAACTAAGTACTTCGCAACCCCAACACTAGATTCCCAAATATAGAGAGTGTTTGGATTTGCTTATTTCATACTATAAATAGTATTTTTTTTCAATCTCCCTGACTGGTAACATAAAAAAATGATTCTTGTTGATTCTCAAATATGACTTTAAAAAGGTAAATAAATATCTCATTCCTAATTTTTTAGGTTCTTATTTTTTAATCTAATAAAATATACCTAACAACCGTCTTCAAATCTACTTAAAATGAATAATACACACATAATAATATAAATTATAAAGCATTTGTGATATATATTTATCATTTCTGACAAAAAAAAAATTACTACTACTTTTTTAAATAAGCATTTTATACAAACACGTAATTACCTTATCTTTAAGATAGGAATTTATCTGCCTTAAGTAACTTCAGTACCATAAAAAAATAACTTAAACCATCAACAAACCCATATATACTAGTTCCTGTATAACTTAAATACCTTAATAATGGATAAAACATTATAATTAAATAGATAAATCTTTATCAAAATATGTCCGCTTTGGGGTTTCCTATTCTGCAGCACCTGGAATTTAGGCTCCAATCATATTTTAGCCATCCCTATTTCCTATCAGGCAAAGCTTGAGCTCAAACATCTAAAAGTTCAACTAACTCTACAGTTTTGTCCTTGTTTTCTTTGTGATTATTAGATCCTATGCAAGTCAGTTAAGGCTGATCTATTGGACAAGACTTATGGCAACATGATACTACCAGATTGCAAGAATATGCCTGCTGGATCTGAACTGTGCAACTGCGCATAAATTAGATTAAGGGGAGGAAACCTTGTTAGCTCCCTAAATTGGGATCTTCTTATGAATTTTGTGAGATAAGAGAACCCTTCGATATCTTTAGTAACGAATCATTAGGAGAGAACCATCAATCACTTTGACAATCACCCGTCAAGAAAGAACCTGTTGATCTCTAAGTTCAGGAAAAAGCTAACAACTTTCTAGAAAAATCATACTTCTTGTTTCATTCATACGTACTGCAGATTTGTACACAACTTAGAGACAACTAGCTCCTAAGAAATAGGTAACTCCCAAACCATCTCGACTAACTCCGTACCACGTCTACGGAAAAAGAAAAAACAATAACAAAAACAGTTTAACAGAAACTTTTCTTGAAAAACAGTATAACAGATAAACTGCTGACGTTATTTTTTAAAAAAAGAATAGATAAACTGCTAAGGAGTTGCGGAAAACTTATCAACTTTTTCTTCCTGTCATCGTGGCTAAATTATTCATTTGGCCCAATAAACTTTTAATAACTAAAATAAGTTACTTGCATAATGAATAACATGAAATCTTTTTGAGGGAGTGGAGCATATTGCATGGGCCAAAGATGTCATATTGGATTAACAGCTGTTTTGGAAGAAGAAGTTAACATCATGAAGTAAAAAGTGCCTATCATAGAATTTGGGTGTTTACATTGATAACTCGTTGCTTCTTGTTCAGTCCATCTTTCTTACTCCCACATTTTCCTTTTTCTTCTCTTTTGGTTTTGTTCACTCACTTGATATTACTTGTGTGTTTGGATTGCACCCATTTGACTTTTTTATTATTTATTTCATCTTTCATACACTCACTTCCATGCTAATTGTATATGTGGACTGCACCACTTTGTTTGCCGAAATTTTTTTTTTAAGATAAACTTTGCTTGCTGAAATATTATTCATGAAAGAAAGTACCTGTTGCAAATCAAGCCCTGACTGGGTAGCAAGCCTTCCAGTTTTTAACATTGTCTCAATTGCTCCACCGATGCTCCTCAAGGGATTTTTTCCCATGATCTTCTTCACATCAGCTACTGCATGACGAAAATGATAATGTGTTAGTATGAGGAACTACCCCTTCTCTATCCCCCCTTCCAAAATAAAAAGTCCAAGAGAAGGAAACAACTAATCACTAGAAATCTATCCAGAATCTTTCCAACAACACAACTCAACAGATGCAGATTACACTATCGCCCAAGTATGTAACTCATCACAAATATATATTTTTTTTTTTGAAATAAAAATGTAACTCCTTATCACAAAGATGATTCAAGAACCCCAAAATTGTTTGTATGGAGTCCAAAATGATCCTACAAATATCTTATGTTCGACCAGAAAATTCTATTTGTGTGCTTTAACAAGCCATTCATTTTCTTTGGTGAAACTAGGATGAAGAAAATAAATATTTAATTTCTTCTAATTTTTTCTCATGTATTTTTCATAGAAGAAGTATTATCAGATGTAAAAAAGAAGTACAACCATGAAGGACTAGTGATCGTCGCGAAGAAAGAAAACATAAACATAAAGATAAGGAGAAAAACAGGCTATGCTTAGAACATGAGGGATGGTCAACCTGTGTGCAAAATGGAAAAAGAATAATCTTTAAGATACTAATGCTCCATAACCCAAAGGGATCTCTGGATCTTCTAAACTTATTGGAAAAATATTTTGGTCCTCTTTCCCCAAAAAAAAAAGAAAGGATGTCCATATTTTAACAGATAGACAGATATTTTATATAAAGTACAAACTTTAGTCTTCACTCTGTCAATTTGATACAAGAATATTTTAACTAAACATAATATCATTTTTCAGTAGCACCAGCAGCACTACAGCTTTAGCTTTATTTTGATCCAAGTGCTATGATTAATGCTAAGTTGTGATTAAGTCTAAATAAACTATAGAAATGATTGAAGGAAAAAGAGCGTAGCTTAGTGTTATCTTGGACTTTTCTTTTTGTTTATTTTACATCAAATTCCAAGAACTGGAATTTTTTGTTCTTTTTTTTTGTATAAAAAAAATCACCCAATTTCTTATAGGAAAAGATAATCCATTCACAAGGCACCAATGGGTGCCAATATATAGAGAGAACCATTTATATTAACTATGGAGAAATTTGCCGTTAATCTCCCATTTCTGTACAAGAAAAAATAACCCATTCTAAAGGCATCAGTGGGATACCAAATACAATAAACAGCTGTTGTGGCCAGGAAACCAGAAGAGAAGACTATATAACCATAAGAACCTAACTATATGAAATACATTTCCACTCCTTCGAAAACACATTTCCCCTTTCTTTCCATATTCACCAAAAGATAAAATGCGGATGAGAGTCTTAGCCCTCCCCTCACGACACCAACACTCCTACCCTAACCTCATCCAACACCAACCCAATGACCATTCACTTCACCCCCACAAAACCTAAGATTGTTTCTCAAAACTATCTCAACCAAGGACGCCACAGAAGAAAACAGTTAGGAGCCTCCAAATCACATTTGCAAAAACAAAATTTTCATCAAAATAGTACCCTATTAGCTAAATTGTCCAAGAATAAGGTTCCACCCAGCCTCCCATAGGAAAGAACGAAGGGGTAAAGCCATCTTAATCAGGCATTTCAGACATCCATACAAATTTGGAAGAGAAATTACCAATGCCTTTGGGCACAGAAGAAGTTCCAATAGCCTTATTGTAACTCCTCACCCGTAAAAGGCCCCTTAGCATCTCATCATCTAAACCATAGAGTCAACAAATGCAAGGGTAACCTACAGAGTACAAATAATATATCCAGTAACCAACTGAGCCCACACCAACACACAGTAACCCAGTGCCTTTACATGAAGCAAAATCCAACCATCATCCAAAACTTGCTTAAGTCCACCCTCACAAGTCTGAACTCCAGCTTCACTTGACACTTCTACCAACCACCTGTAATACTTCCAAACAACTACACACCATAAAGCTCGTTACAAACCCCATGATACCACCCCCAACTACCCAAACCATATTTGCCTATAACCACCCCCTTCCACAACCCATGAGCCCAAAGAAAAAATCCCCATGCTCATTTAGCTAGGAAGTGTTTATTGTGTTGGTGATTAACTCAAGTCAAAGACCACCATGCTTGAGATGTGGCTTAACATTGTGCCAGATTCCGAACAACCCAGTTAATTTTCTGAATGATCCATATCTATCCATAAACTCTACATGAAGGTTCTCTAGCTTCTTGCTGACAAGCTTAGAAGCAGTGAATAGGAAAAGGCAATAGATAGCAAGACGACTAAGTTGCTTGTAACCGAATTTAACAGTGCAATCCACATCCCTATCAAGAAGAATCAAGTCACTTTTCTCAAATTCACCTTCAAAAACAGAAGACCCTCAAAAAGACAGAGAAAGGGCATCTGAAGTGAAAAATATCTAGAGACGCAAGTAAACTGAAAAGGATCGTCTCATTGACAAATAGAAATGAGACATAGTGTGACACCAACTCAATGTTACCATGAGCACTTGAGGGTCCTCCTACTGAACGCGTTTTTAAGTTTCCCAAGAAGAAGGCCACTTGAATATCATAACTCTAAGGAAGCAAAAGAAATACATGTACTTCCAAGATCACTATCACTCCTTGAAATTCATAGACTCCTTAAAGCGTGACTCCTAAATACTATGGACAATCACTCTATCTAACGACTCTTTCTTCGTTTGTTGTAGAAGTACTATGCCAGGATACACTCTAATAACATCCTTGATTTTCTTTCTCTTAAACCCTCTTCCCAACCCATTGACATTCCAAACTAACAATCTTCATGTGGCTTACTACTTCCCCCTGCACTCCCTCTCAACTCCTTGGCTTAATTTGCTTGCTACCTTCTTTATTTCCTTTTCCACCCTCCTCTTTCTTCACACATAAATTTTGGGTGACATTTCTAACCTTATCACCTTTCCCAATTTTTTTCACTAGTCTAAATTCTACAATCTAAGTAGCGCATTAGGAGTCCTTGAATCAGAATTTACCATTATTGGCTTGGGTGGCATAGTTTTTTGGACAGTACCGAGTCTTATTCCACTAGTGATTTACCGATAACCCTGAGAACCACCTGGAATGGAGAGGATGTTGTCACCATGTTCTACATCATCAACTCTCAAAATTTTTGTCCCCAAGATATCTCTTCCAACAAAAGCACAGTAGCCAACTCTTTCCTACTCTCTCCTCAACTAATAATTAGTAACAAATCATCAGAAAATTCAATTAAATCCCACCTGGAACTAGCTCATATCACATCAAAATCCAAGAATTACATTGTCCTGGTCATGTGAAAACTACCTACAACTTTTAAGAGAAGAAATCACTATAATTGAAACATTTCCCACGAACCAGGAGTTTTGTCACCTTCCTCTAACATGCACATAAATTCAGCCATTAATTTTTTCATTACATTATATATTTTGAGACCATTCTTATCGTTCTAAATTTATCTCTTTCTCCAAACTTTAGGGTTTTATACATTCCAAACAGTTTACTAATATAGACGGATAATTAGCAATAGTGATTTACTAGTAATTCAATTATCAAGTTTCCCTAAAAAAATTTTCCTTCTATGAACAATTACAGAAGTTTAAAGTTTACCTAACAATTTCTATATTCCATGCTTTGCTTTTAAAAAGCATTTATTTGACCACATATTTAAACAATTAAAAGTAGAACTTTTACATTCAACTGAATTGTGTACAAAGAAAATTGAGAAGATCAAATAATTTTGTAGAAGGCAATCAAAATCCAATATCTACAATATGCAACTCAAATAGCATGCAGCATTTATGTGATAAAATCCTGGAAAATTCATCAGGAAGAAGCATGTGAAGTTTTGCTATATCCTGAACAAGGACATATCCAAGAAACCTCCACAAATAAACTCAAATACTTCTTCTAAGTGGAGAAAATGCAAACTAATAATAACATTAATAATAATATTAAAAGAAGAATAAAAAAATCACCATCTGATACTAAGAAAAGTAGAAAAACGATAGATATTCCTTTCAAAAAACAGAAGTTAAAGTGGGAATCAAGCCCTTCATTTCAATATAAACTTTGCAACAGTAACCTCATACAAAGTTATAAGAATTTCCATCTTGATAACATTCGTTACAGAAGAAATTTTCAATGTTCCAAAAGATGTAAATGTAATTGCCTCACCAAAAAGTATAATGTAATCAATCATTATACCATCACAAAGAAATGCCATTTAAGATCCAGAATTCCTATAATAACCAAAAGAGGAAAGAAATTGGACAAATGCCCCAAATGGACATACACAGAATTATATATGTTGCGTGCATAGATATAGATAGAGAGAGAGAGAGAGAGAGAGAGAGAGAGACAGGGAGAGAATTTATCATCTAAGGCAAGAACATACAGCTCTCAAACTTAAAATCTTTGCTTTGGTTATTTATCTCATCTTGGAGAAGCCTTTTTGTCTTATGCAGCCAATCTTCTAGCTTTTCCTATAAACACAAAGATAGTGCAATTACATTTTTATTGCTACTTGAGAACAATTAAAAATTAAATCTAATGAAAATCAGAATGCTGGAAACACAATCTAATATGACAAACACATGTCATGGTCACCATAATAAAGCATGAGGTTCCGATTGATACGAAAAAATAAAAATCGGTTAAAACATTGAAATGGTCAAAGAAACACTGGAAAAGAAGGTGATCATCCAAAAGAAGAAAGTAGAACTGACAACCAAGCAACCAAGTCGAATTTAAGTGACTAAGGTTAGTTTCAAAGCTATAACCCACAAGAAACAAATTTAGCACAAAAACAACCAGTTTCAACATTCTACATAAAAATTCTTCAGCCTATAGGAATTCAATAAACAAACAGTTTTGTACACCTCAAATTTCTACCTTGAGATAAACCGTAATCAAATGACCAGGGAGTAAGATTTCCTGATTTTGCAAGGAATCAGGGTTGTCTGGCACAGAAGTCTGATCTATAAGCGAGAAAAGTTTCTGCACCATGAAGCTGAAGAGAAAAATTAAACATGGAGAGAGCACAAAAGATTTTCCAATCAGAGAAAAAACCTTCAAGTGGGAGAAAAAATAGAAAAGTGATCGCATTACAAACAAAAAAAAAAAATACACAGTATAAGCTAACAAGGAGAAGTTGGAGCTAACATGAGCAGATTGAATTTATCATCATCACTGTCAAGATGAACAAATATGTAATCCCTGAGAACTGCATCAGCAACCTGAAACAAAAGGAAAAATATGAAAAACTTGAAGAAAACCACAAATAAATTCTCTACAAAAATGCTTTGCAGAAAAATATTCTCAAACTAATTTTTTTCCTCAAATTTTTTAAATAAAGAGAAGGGCTGAAAAATCAAGGATAACTTACAACAGAATAGCTCTCATTTTCGAATCCTTCCATAACAGGCTGAAAATGCTCCCCTGTAGATGAAGTGCAATAAATTGACATAGATGGTTAATATATCAAACTAAACCACAATGAGGTGATGCAAAAGTTTACCAATATGCTGTCGGCACTGCTCCCTAGTAAAAAGAGATAAGTCCCGAACTTCATCGAGAATAATCTTGGCTCTTTCACGAATAAGTTGAGTGCCAACAGCTCCTTGTGCCCTCCCATATTTCTCATTGTAGTAGCATTTCAAACTTTCATATATTTCTTTGTCATTTGTTTCAGTAAGTGCCTGATAATAACAACCAAGAGTTAGAATAGATATACTAAAATAGTTCTCAGATATTGAAGAATAAAAACAAGCATGGAAAATTATAGACTAGATCACATAAAACATTAATTTAGAAGTTATTAATGATGAAAGGCTAATAACAGCCACACAAAAGACCTCCAAAAATCCATTACTTATCAGGCTAAGGACCACAAATTGCTAGGCAAAGAAGCAGGCATGTGAAGTGTACTACTTATAAACATAATAGTATTGGAAGAATATAGAAAATCTGTTTACAAAATGTTACAATACAATAACAAATAAGATGCCCAAAAATAATGAGCACAAGAGCATATATATATATATATATAACAGCTTGAAGAAAATTAAAACAAAATACCACATATCTAGATTTAGAGTAGATAGTAAGCAAGATACCTTTAGTACGACTCCCACAGGAAGCAAGTACTCCCTCCCTTGTATCCTGTAAAGGAGTAATATAGGTTCAGTATTATAGTATGATTCAGAATTATTACAAGAGAATGCCTCCGACCTCAACAGTGAAACATACAGCTACCTACCAAAATCCAAGCCTTGCACTTCCATTACGAAGGTAATATAATTTAACTGTCACAGACGATTGGTCTTCCCTTACACACCTAGAAGAGAAGCAGAACGCCAGCAAGAATGACCAAAAATGTTAGCAATAGTAATATGAAGAACTGCAAACATCACAAAGTTTGCACTATAGCAGAAACTGAGAATGATGAAGAATTATCCTGTATTTCAAACATAGAAGCCCCGGTTTAACCTGTGTATATGCATATTCCGCATATACAAACAAGAAACTACAGGACAAAATGAATTATGATCAATATCTCAGCATAGTAGCTAGCAATTCTTCAGACAACTATCCAAGTTTCTCAAAGAGGCAATAAAAAACAATTATAAAATGAGACATCCCCAAAACTTGGACAGTTATCTGAAGAATTGCTAAAATGAAACATCCACAAAACAAATCAATGTGCACAGCAATTAGCAATGTCTTCAAAGAGCACGGTCATGCTATACCAAACAATATGGAAACCAACGATGCTAAAGGATATAACCGAAAGAAACTTTATACACATAATATGAAGAACCTTATGACGACTGCTTGATCACTGTATCCTTCCCGTCGATCACGAAATGAATTCCGCACCATACTCGTTGGCTGGATAAAAATGCCAAGGTTGTTTTTCAGAAAAACAACAATCAAGGAAAAAAGTACCAAGATTACATACACTAAATCTAAGTCAAAGGATGGTAAGAATTGAAGCAAGCAATTTTTTAAAGAGCATCAAGGCATGCAACCTGTATACAATATTTACAAGTCAAGAGAACTGAATCAAACATTGATGCTAATGAATCATTATTTCAATACCACACATTTGAATGTGACAATATTAACAATATGCATATATGCAAAAAAGAAAAATGAGTTTACTTACATAATTTCTCTTTGGTGCTATTACACATCGAAACACGCGTTCAATCCCATTCAAGATAAAGTATCTGCTTGATATTGAAAAGGAAAGGGAAAATGGGATAATTAAAGTAAAGAAATACCTTCTATTCCATTTGCAACTACAAGAGCCATAAGAAATTAACATATAAACATACAATGTTTTTTAACAATAGTACAGTATGATAGAAATTTTAAGTTAAAGTGTAATTCTAAATCCAAAAAAAAAAAAAACAAAAGAATCAAAAAGACCATTGTAATAGACATCAACCTTTCACCACATTTACAATCATGTGCTTATCAATAGTCTATTGCTGCAGAACTCCAGCTACTTCTATTTCATAAACCTTTAAAACAAGCACATATCATTTGTAAAACATAATTACTTTTCAAATTTCTTATCAAATGGGTAAGTGCTAAATCACAAGTCATCAACAGGCTAAAAACCAGCTAAATCTAGTACTTCTATCATAGAAGGCTTACCATACAATCCAGGAAGTAAGGATTATTACCTTTTTTAGAAAGATATAATATCCTAGAAGCAGACATATGGAAATACTTACCCACCCATCTCTGATGCCTCTTCTTTGCAGGAAACCAGTTTTCGGGGATCAGCACCTCGCAAGTTGCAAAGCTTTGACTGCATAAGATATTACTTATCAAGTTACCACTTTAACACACAAGACCAGATAATATATTCCAGAATTAGAAGTCTAGAGAATCTTGCTTATAGACATTAACATCTAGTAATGCACTTTAATCGCTTTTTCAAAAAAAATTCAATTGGAAAAAATAAATATTGGCAGGCTTGAGGAAACAACTATATGACTATTTTCTAAAACTACAATTTGTTTTCAAAAACGTGAAGAAAAATTAACTGAATTTTACTAATGTTCAGAACACATTGGTTCTTTAAAGATCACATGAGAAACATACAAATCCAGAAAAAGGAATATTTCCCCTTAACCGCACAAATTCAGCATAAAATTGACCAACTCAACACACAATGAGTAAATCAGTAGTTTGTCTTTTAATAGTTAAACACGCATTTGTTTCATTTGAATATTCTCAGACAACATTCAGAACACTTCTTTGAAATATAAGAAAGAAAGATGTAGGAAAGAAAAATATATACATATATATAGGAAAAAAAGCCAGCAACACCTACCATTAACATCACCGGAAACTGTCCAAAATCAAATCTTTCTCTTATAACAGGTCCTTCATTATATTGAAAGCAAACATCTGCCAGGAATGTCCCTGTATATGAAATCTTTGCCTGCCTACACTGTTAACAAGAAGCAAATTTAACACGCTAAAAAATAATGAAATGGTATAAACCAAACAAAAGGAGCAAAAAGAGAAGTATAAGATTTACTTCAAAAGGAAACAGAGCCTCTTTCATTGCGGTTTTTGATAAGCCTTCCCTTTGAGGCCGGTATAATTGGGGATTGTCTAAAAAGAGTGAATAACCAGTGAAGGAAGCCACTAGATATAATGATCATGCAAGGTATTAAAAAATCCCAGCTCCATCCCATGTAGAAAATACTTGTAGTACATGCAAATTACGAACTCAACATCAGGAATTCAAAATTTAGAATTCTTCGTTAATTTCATTAACCACCCTAATCTGCAAACAACCAAAAAAAACCCTTCTAAGAAAACAGAATATAAAGATAAATTAAAAAAAAAGGATATTTCTCAGCTTGTTCTTGGTGAACGGATGAATGATAGAAACAGGTCTGATTCTGTTGAACATGACCTCCAGTCCTTTATCGGACATGTAATCGAATGACTCGATGTGGTGAGTCACCAGCTCACGCAGCTCCTTAAAATCAGACGCGCGTAGCTTCTTTGCTTTCACCTCGTTCGCCATCTTCTCAGCTCCCCTCTAAATTCCTCTCCCACTGGTTTTTTTTTTTCTTTTGTAAGAAGTTGGAGCTTAGGGCGAGAAGAAAGCAGCGGTTTAATGAAAAAAAGAAGTCTCTTTCTCGGGTTTCAGCTCCAGGAGAGTCCCAACAAGCACGCCTTTCAGCCTTTGTCTTCTTATCCTTTTCGGACGAGTAAAAGCCTCTCCCTTCTTCCCCAAAAGCTTGCGCTTTTCCCTTCCTCCACTATCTTCTCTTTTCAAAACAAAAAAAAAAAAAAAAACACACAGAAGCAAAAACCCTATAAAACCCTCTCCATCTCTCAGTCCCGCGCACGAAGAAGAAGAAGAAGAAGAAGAAGGTTTCCCCTTCTTTCAAACGACGTCGTTCCGAGATCATGATTTGCAACGACGTCGTTTGGGCTGATAGAAAACTAATCCGAAACTACATCGTTTTCTTTGATTTATGAAACGACGCCATTTCGAATATTGGGTTGGGCTACACAGACGGGGAGGCTTAGCCCATAGCGGGCCATAGAGTTAGATATAAAAAATAAATAAATGAAGCTTATGAAATTCATTAATGATGAATTAAGGTATTTATAAAAAGAGATTAAAAAATCTAATTAATAATTAATCATCAACTAATTCCAAACTTTTTAGCAATCACCTAACTTTTCTTTACGTGTAATATTTTCATTGAAATATATAAATTTTCTTATCACGTAAAAACGCACTTCGATAAAACTTTAGCTTTATCTGATCGTGACCAAGAAATCACTGGTTTCGCTTCGTGGGCCATGAATGCCCGACTTATAAATTTATCCGGTAAACTATTGGGAGCTCATGTAGCCCATGTCGGATTAATCGTATTCTGGGCCGGAGCAATAAATCTATTTGAAGTGGCTCATTTTGTACCAAAAAGACCCATGTATGAACAAAAATTAATTTTACTTCCCCACCTACCGACTCAGGTAGGTCACGGGGAAGAAGTTATAGACATCTTTCCATACTTTGTATCTGGAGTACTTTACTTAATTTCCTTCGCAGTTTTAAAAATATATTAATAATAACTGAATATATATATTTGATTTTTTTTTTTAGTTTGATCATTACTTTGATTTTTACTTAAATTAATTTCGATAATTATTAATAAATTTTGATATACTCTCTTATTACTACTAATTATTAATATTATTAATTTATTTACCGTATGTTATATTTATTGACACGTAATAATTTTTAATTTATTTAAATACAATATAAATATCACGTTGTGTCAAATAATATTATGTATATGATATGTAACGTATTATAACAAAAAAAAACTATAAATACGACCCGACCCCACTATGTACTTATAATTATTCTTTAATCTTTTTGATTAACTTAATCCTCTTCTTTTTCTTTTTAAATCTTTTATCTCTCTCTCTATGATAAGTTATTTTTTTAAAAAAAATCAAAATTATCTATTTTTTATTTTTTTTTAAATAGTTATTCATTTCGTATTTATATCTATTTTTTTTGTATATAAAAATAATTAATATTGTTATTAGATATATTATTTACATAATAACAATAATAATAATAATTAAAATTAATTCGAATAAAATTAAGACATTACAACTTTAAATATAATGATCGAAATAAAATTATCATACATAATCTTCATGAGTAATTTTATAATAATAATGTTATATTAAGGTCCTATACTAATATAACTAATATGTAATATAATTATTAAGTTATAGGTGATGCATACATGACCATTTATAATGTGTTCAAAGTTCTATTAATATATATATATATATATATATATAACTTGGAAAATATTTGTCTAGTTGTACTTATAATTATATATCATAGCAATTTTGTAGGGAGCATATTATTTCTATATGTTTTCTAAAAACTTTAATGATTTAATGTGTAA